TAGATAATAACCTGAATTGTGACCTAAACTACACTGTAAAATAAAATCTGTAAACAAATAAAAAATAAATAAAAAAAAGGTCAAAAGACCTGCAGCAGGGATTCCAGAGATATTCTGTTAAATTACAGAAAATAACCATTTAACAAAATGTCATGCAAAAACTGTAAAATACAGAACATACTTTATGGTCAAAATGCAGTAAATTAGAGTTTATTACTATTGATAATTTGGATTTAAACTGTGAAAAAATGGAAAACAGCTGTCAATTACTGCTATTTTACTAATTATTACTGCAATTAAACATAATTGCTGTCATTTTACATATTATTGCAGATTAATTAATTTGATTTTAAAGGTTATTTCTGTAAATTATACAGGTCATTAATGCACTTATACAAATCATTTTATGTAAATATAATGATTATTACTGTAGTTATGCAGGTTATTACTTTAATTATACACATTAATTAATGTGATTATACAAATTAATTAATGTAATTATCATTGAAATCTCTAAATATTCCATGAATTTGTTCACTTTTAACTTACATTTAAATCAGAAAAAATTTGCTTGGAAAAAATACAAACTTATATATATAATTTTTTATTTATTTTTTTACAAATAAGACAATTGGTCATTGTTTGCCAACAAAAACAAGGTTAGTGTTATGTAAAGATGCCTGCACAACAAAGTTGAGCATTAAATAGCAGTTTATTAAGAGAGTTGTCTTGCAATTGAAGGTTGAAACAGGAACAAACAGGTGCATACAAATAATCCCAAGCATAAAGGTGGCAAACAAAATAGCAAAGTAAAGAGGTCAAACGTGGCAGGGGGAAACTCACCATAATGCTCACTAAACAGTTTAAGACTCAGCAAAAATGTGTCTGTGTGCTGAGTTTATAGTTCTTGAAATCAGCCCATAACGATCTTCTGTGTGTGTAATCAGTTAGAATTAGAAACCAGGGTGTGCGAAGTGCATGCTGGGAGTTGTAGTTCGTTAAAGTAGTGTGTGAGTAGTTTTCCAGTAATCTGCAGCCGCTAGATCACTGGTGATTGTAGTAATTAGCATAGCAGGATTTTTAGAGTAGTCAAATATTTGTAGCAAAAGATCGAAAGAAAATCGGCACACTGCCACTTTAGCTCTCATAAAGTCTTTAATATCGCAACGTTTCGACCGACATGGTCTTCATCAGGTAAAGCATCACAAGTGGGAGTACTCAAGAAACAGTGAAACAGCTCTACACATCACACCTGCAGTCAATCATCACAATCAGCCAACAAGCCAGTAAACAAGAACATTTAAATACAACAATATACATATGACAATATGAGATGCATACATACCATTACAAAAAAAGATTTAAAATACAAATCCAAATTTTAACTTTTAACTTCCTCACAGACAGAGTATTCAATGTATTAAAATAGCGCATCACACCTGCAAAAAATCACATTAATCAACCACAAGGCCAGTGAACCAAAGGGAAAACAATTGTGTACATATATTAATTAACGTTATAGGATACAAATACACTTACAAAAAGGATTTTAAATCTTTTTTGTCATGGTATGTATGCATCTTATATTAACATTCGTATATTGTTGTATGGAAATGTTCTTGTTTACTGGCTTGTTGGCTGATTGTGATGATTGACTGCAGGTGTGATGTGTAGAGCTGTAAAAAAAAATTCCCTGTTAAATAATGTTTATTTTTTTACAGTGTAAAGTGTTAGCAAACATACTTGTTGCGAACTCTGTGTGTGTGCACAAACAATACCTATCCATTTGTGTGTTTGTGTGAATGTTTGTGCAAAATGAAAGCTATTTGCACACAAAAAGGATAAAATATCTTGTGCTCTTGTCATCACTTTAAATAATGTAATTAATGAGTCCGCACAGACAAATCTGTTGCTAGCCATTCTCTCTAACCTCAACAAACACAGCTGTAAGTGAATGACAAATTAGGGCATCAAAGACCCAATTATTTCAAATGAGCATTTAGTAACGCATTACAACAAACACCATGTACTGAGCATTTTAAACCCATATTTACTTTTGTCTTGCACATCAAGTGAAGCTTAATGACTCAATACGTCCAACGAGGATATTAATGAAACTTAATGAAGTCTTTAGTAGTTTACAGTCAACCGGTGCTTTTACCAAGGCCATCGTTTTATCATTCCAATGGGAAAAAGCGCCTGTCATGCTCCTCGTTTGCCATTTTTTCCAAGCAGTAAAAGAATCTGTGATTTGTTTAAAGCAGTAACTTTCCTATTCAGTTTCATGTGCTAAACATCTATAATGTGACAGCACTTGTAAGATGAAGTAGATTGTGGAAGCGCACTGTTCTCCGCTATCAGAAGTGACAAAATCAATAACGTTCTTTATCGTTCTGTCCTGTTCTGTCTTCTTGTCATGTAGTCAATTTGTGAATTGTTGAGAAAGTAGGTCGCACTTTCTGAGACCGTTTCCGACTCCAGGAAGTTTATCCGGAAGACACAGGAACGGTAAAGCTTATAAGATAGACCTCCTGTCTCTGTAGGAAGTGGAAGAAGCTACACAGCTAGTCTTAATCTGTTGTGGAGAAACGTTGGCAAAAGATAAGAGTAAAGAGTGCTGCGTCGTGGTCCAGAGGAGCTGCTGGAGTGTTGACTAACAGCAAACAAGACTTATAGCTTTAAGAGTGACCAGCAGCATATTGCAGGTTTCATGTTGTTGCAGTTGAAATATGAAAGAAGTTTGGAAAAATAAAACGGTAGAAGTTTCTAAGTACCAATCACTGTGGCTCTTCTCAAGCAGGGATAGCCTGAGACTACTTTGTAGTTTTAACTTTCCATTGTTATTTATTGTTTTAATTATTTTTTAATCTTCTTCAAATATTTAATAAGTGATATTTAACAGAGCAATGATATTTTTACAGTATATTCTATATTTTTCTTTGGGTAAAGTCTTATTTCTGTTAGTATGGCTTGAAAAAAAGCAGTTTTGGAATTTTTTCAAATAAATTTTAAGGTCAATATTATTTCTCCCCATTTGAGAAGTTACAGAACAAACCACTGTTGTCCAATGACTAGCCTAAGTAACTTAACTTGCTTTTTTAGCCTAATTAAACTTTATAAGGCTCGAAATTGCACTTTAAAACGAATACTTCCATCTTGCAAATGTTATGTACCTCCATCATGGCAAATACAAGAAGAAAAATCAGTCATTAAAGGTATTGTTTTAAAATGTGTTGCAGAACCTTCACCAGAGGGCAAATCAATTTGCCTTCAACTGTATAAATATATAAAGATAAAATATATCAAAATATAATTTTAGCATCAATAAAACTGATTAAAGGGCTTGGAAATACCAAAGTATAGTTTATCAAATTTTCAAAACTCTAGCAATGAAAAACTATATTTTGTGAAATCAATATTATTTGGTGCAAAAAAAACCTGAATGAATAATGAGATTTGTTATTCGGATCCATTATTCAGCGAATAAATAATAGCAGCCATATAGCACTGCTATGGTTGTGATATTGCGTTTATACAACAGTTCGACGGCATAATTGTGTAAATAAAAAAGAAAATCACAAAGAGTCTAAAAATCATTTTATTTGAGGAACTACTTTCTTCCGCCATTCATTTACATCTGCAACTGATGTCAGAACAGCAAAAATTGTTGCTAATTCACCAACGTCGCTTTAGAGCTAGCTAGTATTTGGATGATTCACTAGTGCCATGTCTCTAAAGTGATGACAAAATAAGTGATTTTTACTGACATTTTAAGATTATAAGGCTGAACTGAAAATGAAATGCCATCAGTCTAGAGAGATTTCCAAGTATTTCTCTGTTGCAATCGGGAGTTCACTATAATTAACTCTGAAAAAGCCAAAGCAATGCAATCTCTAATTTTCCAGATTACTGTTGTGTTTGTGATGAGGAAAAACGCTAAACACATGCAGGCATTTCTACTTTCTTTCTGTTTACTGAACTAGTCTGCAGTAACAAAAACAAGAGACTCGTTAGAAAGAAACAGACGGTCAACCAAAAAGTAACTCAGGGTTATACAAAGAGTGGGTAACATAAAATACATACATACCATCTCACACTCAATACACTACAATTACTATGATATAAATACAGCACTACAACACAAAAGAGAGAGACATAGACCTAAAGTGTCACTCACCAATTTTATGGTGTTTTGATCAGCTGTAGTTTAAAAATACACTGACCTTTTCTCCTCTAAGGGTTTATTTGATTATGATATAATTATGCTCTCTTTGTCGCCATCTTGTGGATAGACAATGTCAACTGTCTTTGTGTTGCTCAATGACAGGCTGATGGATGCCAATGCACTGTCTCTCAGAAATAAATATTTAAAATAGGCACTGTCCTTATAAATAAACTGTATAGTTGCATTCTAAACAACCACATTCTTGCCTAAAAAGTCTCAAAAGTACATTAAGTTGTCTAACAGCAGCAATATTTGTCAAATTGTAGAGTATATTCATCTGCCGTCACTCAATGTGGGCGGAGTAATACAGAAGGGTGAGAAGGCTCTATAAGTCCTGATATTGCAGAATATTGCACTGCTATCAGCCATTCAGATTCGAGACCCAGACAGAACTGTTGTATGTATGTATGTGTGTAAATATACACATACATACATACATATATATATATATATATATATATATATATATATATATATATATATATACATACATACATACGTACATATATACATACATACATATATACATATATACATATATACTTATTTATATTATAACCCACATATTACTTATTTTTATATTATATATAAATATAATTTGGAAGAAGTGGTATCTGACCTTTATAGAATAAAAGAAATACTGTATCATCATTTTAGTCAAGCCCATACCTAGTAAATCCAGAGAAATAGAATTTTGAAATGCTCAAATTTTTTTCTGTACCATTTTATTTTCCATCCTCAAAATCTATCTGAATTTATCATTGCTTCCTTGCAGGTAATTATTATGGCACCCCAAAGCCTCCTGCAGAGCCCAGCCCTGTGCAGCCTGACCTGGTAGACCAGGTTCTGTTTGATGAGGAGTTTGATGCAGAGGTTCAGCGCAAACGCACCACGTCTGTCAGCAAAATGGACAGAAAGGACAGCGCAGCTCCTGAAGAAGAGGAGGAGGATGAGAGACCACCCATGGTCAACGGACTCACAGGTTAGACTGCAAATCTCTGCATTCAGGCATTCAGCAACAGCTGAGTTAATACTGTAGGTGTGTTGATCTATTGTGATGTTTGCTTATTTAGTCAAGTAACTTTTATTTCTAAAGCACTTTATTTAATATAGATTGTTTCAAAGCTGTTTTACATGGCTAGAAAAGGAAAGGACACAAACCAATAACAATATTTCGGATTGGGGGATGTATTCAGTATAGAGTAGTTGTAGAAAGCTGGTGTAGATCTAGTTAGATTAAAACTGATTCAGTTCAGTTTAATGCCAATGTCACTGTTAAAGGGCGATCCACATAGCCATACATAATATACGAGAGTTTAAAATCAATAATGCACAAATGGGTTCAAATGCAACTCAGCAGAGTTAAAAGATTGAATATAAATTTTCAAAGACACTGTGTGATTTGATCATACCGGTCAGTGTTGGGAAGTAGCTTAATAAAATTAGACACACTGCTAGTATCCTACATCAACTGTGCTTCATTTAAAATTCGCAAATGGAAATTATATTTACAGATTAACTGCAAAATCCTGCACCGTATTTTATTCTTCGTTTTTTGTAGCATAATATTAAGCTTCATCTATAGTTAAGTTACTTGCTTACAGTTGGTTCTGAGATAGGATTGGCAGCGCTGTGCATGTAATATTTAATCATTAAGGTATGGTTTCGATTTTCGTAGCTGCGTGATTCACGGTGCTGGCAGATTGCCTGCGAGGCTTTCATTGTAAGTGTATTACTGTAAATGTATTTTTACTTCATTTTTGCAAGCTGAGCGACTTTGCTTTGCTGTGGTAATCGACAGGAGAACACAGATGCTGTCAATAGAGCTTAAGTTGTTCTGGGCTGATTTGATTGTGTTCCCTGTGAAGAGCTTTACTGAGGGGTCTTTGGATGCGCACTCAGTTGTAAAATAGAGGGGTTTAGTGCTGTAGAGTTCTGTGCCACGACTGCTGTACATCTCTCAACACAAATGCCTGCTTCCAGTCATTCAGAAAGTCAGTTATCCTCCATTGATCACACCTTTAAGAAGCTGTAATGTAGTGGTACTAAGTACACAAAGCTAAAGTGCACACAATGCATTTATTTCTATAGATTCATGCACGATTTAATTTGTTGAAATCTTATTTTAATGAATCAGTTAAGAAAATTTTCTAAAACTAACATTTTAAAAAAAGCAATTAAAGTGATTCATTCAGGGTGCCATTGAGTTTACAAATTATCCCCTCACTTAATCATTCAACATAAATCCTCTTTTATTCATGTTAATTAATAACTATGAATTAACTTACATAACCTTGACTGTTACTGAAGATTTAATGCAGTATATTCAATGCTTAAGCCAAACATATTTTATTCTTCATTCAAACATCTAATGTCCAAAAATTTGGCTCTTATAAACCCAATCTTTCTGACTGAATCAATTAAAACTGTCATTCCTCATTCACACAGGGCGTCAGCTTCAACGCTTCTCATTCACTTGCATGGGTGATGTCAGGCGTTGCCGAACTGCATTGTGGATCCGTCTGCGCCGCTATAGAGGCGTTGCTCACTGCAAAAGTTGGGACTTTCTCAACTTTTCAAGCGCCGCCGGAAACGTCAGCCAATCAGATCGTTATATGCAAATACACCAGCTCAGACAGTGGCCTATTGCTGATGAATTTCATTGGCTGACCCTGCTATGACGATCGCGTCAGCCCCAACTCCATACACGCCCTCTGTCAAGCTGACGCTGAAGCCCTGTGCGAATAGGGTGTAATGCTGCTCAAGAACTTTGGCTGTTTGAATCAGATTTTTAGTAAAACATTCAGGAGGGAAGTTAAGTTATCAGCTGATTCACTCTGGGAATCAAAGTGAATCATTCTGGGAAGATTGAGCTGACTGTCTCTTAAACTGTGAATTTTACTTTATGCTCACTACAAGGCTTAAGGCTGGTTTATACTTCTACATCGAGTCTTCGGCGTGACCCATGGCCCATGTCTTGCGCATAGCTGTGCATTTATACTTCTGCATGCTGTTTGTGTTGTTTTGCAATAACACTTCCGAAATGCTTGCTGGCTGGCAGTAGGTTATGTTATGCTCCTCTGTATTGAGTTTCTTTGTTGATGTTTTGTTTTAGCTAAAGTAGCTAAAACTCGCTCATTCAGAGGCGGGAAACAGCAGATGTGAAAAAGCTTTATTCATAAGGTAAACACAAAACATCTGGGGCCTCATGTACAGAGGCGTTGAATTCATACTAAAGCATTGCGTATGGACTGTGTGTACGCAGTAAAAAATTCTGATGTATGAAACATTGCGTACACAGAATCCCACGCATATTCTCTTTATACATCCGAATTAATGTGAAACTGAGCGCACGTGCAGTGCACAAGCGCAAAACTCCTCCCTGGTAATGACTCCACTTTGGCAAAACCAACCGAAAAAGCAAGAGAAACCTCACAGAATGTGAATTTGAGTTGCTCCTATCGGTGGTAGACCGGAGAAAAACTGTGTCATTTGCAAGTTTGTCCTCCGGAATTAATAACAAAAGAAAAAAAGTAGAGTGGGAGAGTTTAGCTGACTCGGTTAATGCAGTGGGGTCTGAACATCTCACTGTTAGTGAATAAAAAAAAAAGAAATGGTCCGATGTAAAGGTGCAGGTTAAGAGGATAACAGGCGGGGGAACGGGATGCTGAACAACATTTAAGGAGAGAGTTGCCTTAATTGTGGACTTTACTGTCTGGAGTACTATCCGTGTTTGTGGGAGACACGGATGTAGTAGAGGTATTTGTGTTCAGATGGCACCTTTATAGCAATGTGCGTGCAGTCGATCGCTCGATTATGTTGGGAAAACGGCGATCGCTGCAAATTACGCTTTAATGTTTGGTTGGTCAACTTCATGGTATGGAAACCTTATATACCTGCTAGACATGCGATAATCCCGTCCCATTCAGCTGGCATTGCAGGAGTCGCCAATGGAAACAAAACAAACCCACACAAGAAATGCCCATACGCCAGTGATGAAGTTGGCGTGGACCAACGCACATTCTGACATTAATTTTATCGTTAATCAATCTAAACGTGAGCATGAAATTTGCCATACGCAAAGTATTTGTGCAGATACAGCGTTGATACATGAGGCCCCAGAAGCTTCTTCATGGGACTTGACATGTGTGAACAATCGGTCCAGCGGGCTTGTGGCTCTCAGCACCACCCACACTCAGCACGGCTACCAATCCGACCTATCATAGAGCTTGCTCTACCTGTCATTAGCTACATTTCCATCCACCTATTTTTATGCACATTTTTGAAATGCCCATAAAAAAAAAAAAAAACGGTTGATGGAAATGCCAAAATGTGCAAACATTTCAAAACTATGTGCATAACTGAGTAGGAAAAGCGTTTTATTCGATAAGAAAACACGCACATTAACTACAAAGGAAACACTTTTACCAAACAAATTCTAGTATGCGCATTAAAGTCATGTGATTTTATTAATATAGAGATCGTCTGATGGTAGAATTGTGTTTGAATGGAGAAATCAGCAGGTTGAGCACACTGTAACACATTTGAAATGTTGTTTTGGTCATTCTAATACACTTTTACCATTTCAGTATTAGTGTTATTATGTTATTAAATACCTCCAGAACTGTCAAGAGCATCTGCGCTTCTCATCTCACACCTTCAAAGCTACCTTGTGTTCATTGCATGTCCGATTCGTCTTCTGAGGTGCAAGTAATTTATTAAATAAGGAAAAGATTGGCGCAGCTTCTCCTACCCCAGCAAATTCCGTTTTTACTCTTTATATTTGGCGCCAGGAAGCGACAGAAGTGATGATTTTGTTCTCTTTGACTCGTTGGATGGAAATGCTGCTTTATTTTCAGGTCTTATTTGCAATATTCCTGTTATACACATAAATTTGCATCACCATTGCTAGTATGACGTGTAGTTACATTTTTTGAGAGGTGTGCGTCAGAGTTGGCGTCAGTCACAGCGAGGTCTATGTGAAAACGTAAAGGTTGTTCTGGATCATACCCTTGCGCTTGATGCTGAAGTATAAATGAGCCTTTAGACCCAGTGTGATTATCTATTCTTTTTATTTATTATTTATTCTTTTATTGTTTATTATTCAAGCAAAGCTATTGTGAATTGATTGCTTTTAATTAATCAGTAAAAAAGTTTCAGACTAGAAGTGAACCAGACTCTCAACTAGGAAGGAATCACTCGTCAGGGGTTAATGACTTCACAGAGATTACTATGATTCTTTCACTTAACTGAATCAAAGATAATAGCAATAGAATGACACACGCAGGCTTGAGAAGAGAGAGCCAGTTCGGTTTAGTAAAGCGTATTTAGTGTATAGTTGAATGTATTTCATTCTTTTTCAGTTTATGCCTTAAGGTGGGTCAGTTTCTCAACTGCCTCCATAACCCCTGCAGACTATCAAAGCTGTTTCAAAGACATGAAAAGTAGTTGAGCTTTTAAAGTAGGCCAAATGCACAGTCAGTCTTGGGTTTTTTTCAGCGATTATATCCAGTGGCATAAATAGACCACGTTGAGCTGAGAATGAATGAGCTTATGGCTGCTATGACTTCAAGTAATGAGCATGTTAAAGAGGCTGCTGTTTGCTGTGAGGAATAAAAGTGTCTTTGCACCCTTTGCACACAGAGTAACTGCTGAGCCGCTGCCTGTAACAGACTGTTGTGTACCAGCCTCTGCACTCAGTCTTCTACCTTCTCATTAAAAATATACTCAAGGCTTATTATAAGTCTTTTACGGCCATTTTGGTTCTACATTAATGACTATGTTTAAACAACATACTGCCACCCTAATGTGCTCTCCTGCTGCCAGACTTTTAGGTCCGAATAATGTCACTCTAGCTGTATAAATTCATGTTTTTTTTTTAATTGTGACTCAAGTAGTAGAGCATTGGGTAAAGCCAGGTAAAGCACTGGTGACATACAGATAAATAATACCACTCTTGAAACTATTAGTTAATAAAAACTA